CAACAGGGAAATAATGACAACAACATGGCGGCCTAGATGTCTAGATCAATTGAAAGTTTCCAGCCAAATTTTCATCAGACTAAAACGTTGCATGTTGTCTTGCAAAGATATTTCTGCAAAATTTCACTGGGTTTTGTGTACATTAATAAGGCTAATCCACAGCTCCTAAAACCATCACTTCTGTTGCAAGGTGAGCTGGGCTGGGAGTTGTACCACGCCAGAGAGGACACAGCCCGGCTGTATGAGGCCCTGATGTCGGCAGGACAGGAGTTTGGACTGGGTGACTTCGGCACTTACGCCATGGGCTCCCTCAGGCTGGAGAAGGGCTTCCGGGGCTGGGGGGCTGAGGTAAGGACAACTGAAACATTCGACGACAACTTATGCTTAAGCTTCGTCTGCGTGCTTTTTAAAATCTTGATAACTGGCAATACATTTCGTCGTGGCGGTAGTGAAACTAGTTTCTCGAGATATAAACATAAATTTGTCAGCTCAAAGACCAGAAACTTTTGTTTATCTCGCTGCAAACATGCTTGTACACTCTTGAACGGTTTAGCAATTCGCAACGTTCGGAACTAGTTGTAAGGATTAATTTCTTATACAGCCTTGAACTCATTTCAGATGACAGTGGATAACAACCCTCTAGAAGCAGGTCTTGGTTCCTTCATCAAAATGAGCAAGGTATGCAAAGTTTCATGATCAGGGCATTTCTGTAACTACGAGCAAAACATTTTTCTCCACCTGCTAGAATCATTGGCTGTGTGAAGGTAGCCATGAGATCCTGTGAGGTATTTTTCTATAGTGTACAGCTATGTTACGATGTACTGTGATTTGTCTTAGTACCGTGTCCAGCCATGTTATTACGCTGTACTGTGATTTGTCTTATACATGTAGTACATTGTACACGTGACGATGTACTATACTGTGTTCAGCCTGCAGACTTCATCGGTAAGGCGGCCCTGCAGCAGCTGCAGCAGGAGGGTCTGACCCGGAAGCTGGTGTGTCTGACTGTGGAGGTGGAGGAGGATGGTCCTGATGCTGAGGGGAACGAGACCATCTGGCACCAGGGGGAGGTCAGTATCCCTGTCATCACTTGTTTATTTCAGTCCGTTCAAAATCTATCTGGATTACGTTGTGAATACATGTGTAATCAGCACAGTTTAAAAGAAGGTCATGTCCAACGATGATATGTGCAGTCTTCATTGATTGATCGATTGACTCATCTATCTGCTGTTTACCAGGTGGTTGGGTTTACGACCTCCGGAGCGTACGGTTACCGGGTACAGGAGTCCCTAGCCTACGCCTACGTCCCGTTACATCTCGCCCAGCCGGGAACTGTGGTGCAGGTAGAGTTGCTAGGGAGCCGCCGCCCAGCAAGGGTGCAGCAGGAGCCGCTGGTCAAGAGGGCTAGAGAGGAAATATAAGTACTGTGCAACGGTGCGCTGAGCAAGCTCGTTTTAGAAACGTCGACTATGAATAGGAAAAGCCATGATAACTCTTAAAATTTTTAAATAATGCTGGCAGGTAATGTAGTAGAATGACTGCCTTAGAAGTCCCCAACACTCTATAAATGCAACATAATTATTCCTATAGTTTTACTCTAGTCGTACCTCTTGATCATGAACATACTTCGTGCCGTGTCCTATACACGACTGTCCAAGGAATGCCCTGTTGCAATCGTGCGACGAATGTGACTAGGCCCTAACTGAGGAATTACCCAAAACGTTGTGTAAAATCGTTGCAATACCAGAATCCCGGGGGTACATCTTTAACGACTGAAATAATGATATTAAGGATGATAACCCTGATGGTAAACGTACATCAGGACATTTTATAACTATCAAAGTACCACAGCTTTCTCCACTTACTGCAATCAATGCCATTGGCTGTGGGGAGGCAGTCATGTTACGCTTACGACGAATGTGTGTGAAACTAATTAAAACTCTTGTTTCTCCTTTCTAGTTTCCTAGTATCGTCATGTTGGTAGTGTATGTTCGATGTGTTGAGTTTGATGTGTTGAGCGCTCAGATTATATTCCTTGAAATTGCCGACGTAGAAATTGCACCATAGTCCCAAACATCCCAGAGCTTACTACTAGTATAGATCTCCGTGGAAGCGCTCTTAAATTCAAAGCTCCCCAGCTGAGAGTTTTAAGTGCTCTCCCGTGGTAAACGGACAGGCGTCACTGCACAATTGATACATTGTACCCACAGCGAGAGACTGTGTAAACTTAAACAGCTGCCCTCCCTCGCTAAATATCGTACAGTCCCCAAACCCCTATATTTGTATAGCAGAGGTGCCCTTGTGCTGGTGTGCATGAAGAAACCTTTAATCTTTGAATCGATAACACCCGTAGCGTAAGTCTCACATGCTGTAAGATGTCTCAAGAGAAGGGAGAGACGGCAGATGAGTTCGGCTTGAGAATGGTGAAAACCGTCTCTTCTGGGTTCGTCACCCTGGCGATGTCCATGGGCGTCCGCACAGGCCTGTTCCGCCACCTGGCAAGTATGGACGGTCCGAAGACGTCTGCACAGATCGCAGAGATGGCAAACATGAAGGAAAGGTAAGCTGTGTGGTTTAAGGGCTAGTCAACAACAGGCTCAAGGTTCACAGTAACGTTTAGGCTCAGATGACTTCGACCAAGTTCAACTTGGGGGCACTTATGTTGTGTTATAGGTCTCACGACATTGGGCTAAACCAACGGCCTTGGTTAAACATTAACAGTTATGTCCAGATATGTGGCTGACATTGGCTGACCCGGATTTCACCTTTGACATTTTTCACGTTTTCTTCAGCAGTACCGAAGCATGTCGCCAGATGGGGAGCTTTGAAATTGATGTCAATGGGAAAGAAAAATACATTTGCACATCCATCGTTTTCTACCTCCGTGGATGGAGGTTTTGTTATCAGTGTGTTGGTTTGCTTGTGTGTCCGAAGTTATTTGAATACAGTCGAGTCGCAGGTAGTGAGGGAGAAATTGTGTGACCACAGACTGACAGGGAGGTCGAATTGGTGGTCAAAATTGTCTCAGCAGGCTAGGAAGAAGTGACATTGGAATATACACAGAATCAGCGAACAATTCACCATAATAAAACAGTAAATTAAAAAAAAAATTGTTTGCTTTTCCTCCTCACGATTAGGTACGTTCGCGAGTGGCTGGCCGTGATGGTGACCGGTCAGATTATTGACTACGACAAGGAAAAGAAAACCTACTTCCTACCGAAGCACAGGCTGAGCGCCTTGTTGCCTGACGCGGGAATGAGCAGCATCGGGAACATGTCACACCTAATGAGCCAGGTTGCTCGGGTTGCGGGTGACGTGGAGGACTGCTTCCTAGCAGATGGGCCCAAGGGTCAGTGTTTGTGTCGTTTATTGAGCATAACCCGTAAAGCCTCGGTCACAACTCGCCGTGCGTGCTTTTTGTCCGTACGTTTTTGTCGTGGCTACGTCTGCTACGTTTTTTCTGCAAACGTAGGGTGGCCGGCCGAGGGAGTACGTCACTCGCACGGTTGCGCAAGGTGTACGTACGTGGTCTGCACGACACGCCTGGCCGTCAGCGGTTGCGTGCATCGTACGTTGCGCAAGTGGTAAGTGAGTTGTACGTGCTTACAACGCACGATCTCTGTGCGATTGCTACGTTGCCGCGTACAGGCCGTACCTACACGTGCGGCGTACGCACGGTTTCCTTACTCACTCGCACGTTGTAAGTGCGTGCACCTCCTGTTAACTTCATCATCACTAGCCGCCCTGGGCATCTTGGAGACGAGTTGGCAGTCGCCGGTCAAGTCGTCTTTATATACTGTAGAAATCAGGTGCGTTGCACGTGCGTTGCACGTGCGGAGCACCTGGTATGGTGCACGTGTGTTCTGCGTGGTCATTGAGCAGGTCAACTGGGAAGTGAGGAGTAAGCACGGATGACGCAAGCACCGTGCGTGGCACGCACATGCTTCGTGCGCTGTCCGTACAGCAATTGCACGTGAGAATAGTGAAGTTAGACTCACGGAGTCCGTACGTTGCACGCTCATAGGCTGTACGGGGCACGCGCGTCGCACGTACTCGCACGCACGGGTGGTAAACCCGCAGACCGCACGTAGAAAAAGTATTACATGCACTTAAGGTTCTACGGCGTGTCTGCGTGCTCCCAAATCCGTAGGATTCCGTACGGAGGTGGTACTCACCACGCACGGATGCCGTGCGATTGCCCACGTTTTTGCACGTAGACAGCACGCAGAAGCACGTACGGCGAGTTGTGAC